GCTCCTTATAGGAAGTGATCATCTTTTTCTACAAGTGTTCACATTGTACACGATATCATGGGAATTATAAAATATATTGTGCTGCCTATAATACCCATAAACGGGTCTACTCTTGCCCGAAGGGTAGGTAAGCTGAAGTAGCAATAGGTTGGTCATCCAATAATGCATTTACCCATACTTGGTCGTCACTCAGGAATCTTTCTTCCCCATCGGTTGTCGTTTCTTCGAGCTATATAATGTACTTATCCTTTGGGCTATGTCGACGACTTAGTTTCTTTTTGGGGATATCCTCATTTCGGATTCTATCACGCGAAGCAACTCCGAGCATTGCCCAATCCATAGTTGGCCGAGTAATTTGAAGTTTTTGCATACGAGCAATCGTGTACGGGAACTCGATTTGTGACAGATGGATCACAAATGCCATCGACAATTTCAAGTTGCACGCCCAATATGGTGATAGTGCAAGAGTTACGTTAGCGTTTCTAGGAGCAGGCTAGCACATCAATCAGCGTTATCGACTACAATCACTGCACCCGTAGGCGCAGCTCGTTATGTCGCATTGTCGCAGGGTCACAGGTTCATGCTGTGAGTGCGGGGACGTTGGACGGACGCGTTTTCACTTCTAACATATGGATATCACCAAGGAGACAATGTATAAGCAATATTTTTAAAGAGTTCGTGTCCATGATTGTTGGCATAGTTGATTGGTATATTATTTATTTTACTAATATATTGCTGGGCCATTTTATTCGACATAACGATTTTTAAAGAGCATAGTAGAAGGAGAAATAAAGGGCAAAAGAGGAAGACGAAGACTGAGGAATAACTACATGGGACAGATAAAGGAAACACTAGGTGTCATGTCGTGTAGGGAGGTCGAATATATAGCATAGGATAGAGCTGGCTGGAAGAGAATGAATGAATTAGTTGTACTGATAAGAGGAAATTCTTAAATGAAGAGAGAGAGAAAGACTAATATAATAAAATTTTAACAAGACGACGTCTGTACGTGGATGATAATTAAAAAAAATGGTATGAAGTGGTCTTATCAGCGCAAATAGGCTTTTAATTAAAGAATTTTTGTCTGACTCTCTGTACGTTTATACATCCGTCCAAAAGGTACAAACATTCACATTTATAATATTAATGGGGTTTCTGAGTGCAATAAAGAATATATATATATATATATATATATATATATATATATATATATATATATATATATATATATATATATATATATATATATATTTGTAGTCTGTAAGAAAATCTGTGTGCAACTGTAATCAGAACAATCCAGCCTAACAAAGCTGACGGAAGCCTGTCACGTTCACTAATGCCTAGTCTAACCGAATGACATTCGGCATTCATACAATCTTATCCTTAAATCGTACAATCCATTCATCATTTACGACCTGGGAAACACCTTTGTCTGTCTGTTTGAAGCCAGACTCCTAATTACGAGGACTTTAAACAAAGGATCGAGTTTATTTTATTTATTTATTAGTTAACTGCATCTAATTGACTAATTGATATAATTTAACTCACATTATTGTTTTAATACATAGTTCGTTAACTGGATTTTGGTATTAATTAGTATTATAATATCAGGGCAAGTAGCATAGACAATTGAAGTATAAAAAAAATAAGAAATATTTGTTTAAGTTTTGAAATAAGGTAAATTTTGATGTTCACAGAGCAAGTGTAAAGCTCTGCATTCACTGGACGATTATCGATTTACCAGAGGGAGACTTTGTACAAAAGTCGATTGCTTGGGTATCTGTCCCATTCGTGTTTCAACCGTGAAGCAGCTGTGTTTGCATGGCTGTGTTTCGGTTTGAATGGTGAGATATGGCGTGAATTTACTGGGTACAGAGGAATAACACCTGAGTCCTCAGGAATGGCAACGCATGGGGGGTATAATGGGCGAAACAGTATACTCTGTTATGTCCATGGTACTGCTCATGTTTATAGGTGATGGTTACCACTTTCCATCAGATGGGCCGTCAGCTTGTTGGCCATTCTAAGTTGTTTAAAAAAAAAAATAAAAAAAAAATATCGTTGCAATCGTGGTATTTTATTTCTAACGACAATCAAACTGCCAATAATTAAATTGTGTTCCAACCCCACGCAGTTCACCTTGGAAACCATCGCCGTACATTTTTGTAGAATCCATCACTATGGGCTAACTGACCTGTTTTCATCCTCATCTATCATTCTTCGCTGGTGCCCCGCTAATGTATACCGAAGGCGTAAACAGGCCAACAATTCCATTATCATCCATTAAAAAAAACGTCTCTAATGTACCTCATTCTAGCAAATAAATACATTGTAATGCTAATTCTAAAAAAATCGCTACAGAATTGAAACGAAGAAATGAGAAGTACACATCGTGAAGCAGTTGTGTTTGCATGGCTGTGTTTCGGTTTGAAGGGCAAACAAGCATACAGTCCGTCTGATGGTGAACGATCACTGTAGCCTATGGACCAGAGGGAGACTTTGTACAAAAGTCGATTGCTTGGGTACCTCTGTCCCATTCGTGTTTCAACCGTGAAGCAGTTGTGTTTGCATGTCTGTGTTTCGGTTTGAAGGGTGGGATATGGCGTGAGTTTACTGGGTACAGAGGAATATCACCTGAGTCCCCAGGAATGGCAACGCATGGGGGTATCATGGGCGAAACAGTACACTCTGTTATGTCCATGGTACTGCTCATGTCTATAGGCGACGGTTACCACTTTCCATTAGGTGGGCCGTCAGCTTGTTTACCATTCTAAGTTGTAGAAAAAAAAACACTAAAATATCGGTGGATTGCGCGTCTCGTCCTATTTGAAGCCGATTTAAAAGTCATCTACATGATGATCTCTATAAGCAGCACTCGTCTTGACCGCCGTGCAAATGTGCTTGTTTGACTGTGTATTGTTTAAAACATGGAATATGGCAGTGAAATTACACATGTAGGCATAACCGCATAGCTTATTTAATATGAATTGAATGAATATATTATAAAAACTTTTTACTATCCCCCTCAAATAATGATACAAACTACATAACGCGTCACCTATTTACTTCTCGATTTGACGGTGTTAAGTCCGCCAAATGTACTTAGAATGCTGTGCATTAAAGTTTAAATAAATATATATCTAGTATCCTGGGAATAACTATCATAGGTATCACATTGCATTTTTTAATGTTTGTGATGCCTTTGTCCATAAACATCAGTTACTAATTACCATTAATTGAGTTGTCAGCTAATATGCTGTTTAAATTACGAGTACAATAAAAAAATATTTAAAAAAAATTGATTTGGTGGAAACAAACATCCGTAAATGTAAAAGAAGGGAAAAGGGATTGTTAGTAGTGAACTATATTTTTTTTTATGGGTTAAAATGGTATGGTAACCCCACCTGCGCTAACGGGATACGCTGGCGGAGCGCCAATGAAAGGTGATTGATGAGAATGAAAACAGGCCAGTTAGCCCATCATGATGAATTCATCAGGAATTAACCCATGATAGTTTCCAGGGGGAACCGCGAGTAGGTCGACCTGGTTGGGTATATTGCTAACAATAGGATTCTCAGTCTCCATTACTGACAATCCCTTTCCCCCAGTGGACTACATTACTAGCCCTATTAAATTGACCTTTCAGGAATCCATCGTTGCTGAGTTTTATTACATTTGTCACGAAGGGCCAACTGACCGGCTTTCATTCTCACCTATCATCTCCCACTAGTGCGCCGCCAGAATATATGATATGATGATAGCTTAAGTAAGATTACTTATTTATTTATTTGTTACAAAATCCACACCACTTAAAAACTATAAAACTATAGAGTTATTTTTAGTACTCATAGCCAATTACGGATTTACAATATTTAATATATTACTTCATTAAGCAGTCAAGCATTCACAATGATCAAGTTATGTATGTGAATTTAAATGTATACCCTTTCATTTTCGCTCATTAAATGAATGTATTTATATAATGCATAAATTATGCAGATGCGCTAATTTAGTTTTCTTGTATGTATGTTTGGTTGTGTATTTATATGTACATATTATAAGTATATATTTATATTATTTAATCAGTATTCTTATATTTGTAATGTGAGATTTATGTACCTCCTTATTTAGATTATTAGAAGTGTTATGCATAGAGATATAATCCTTTTAGATATATTAGTTATCATTTAGATATGTTATGTTGCTTAGTTTTAATATTGTGCTCTGTGTATCTTTTTAATTAGCAATTTTTTTGTCTCCATCAATTCATAATTTCTATCAGACATTGAAAAGATAAATGGAAAAGATCCCTTTTCTGGGATAAGTCCGCTATTGTACTCATTATTTCCTTAAGAACTCTGTATCCTATAATTTAACACCTTACTGTACAATAAAATGTTACAAACAAACAAACAAACATTTTCCCCTTATTCATAAAAACTAAAACCTCCTATATCTACTTCAACTATGAGTATTACTCATTCAAACTGAGAATTTAGCGAAAAAGAAAGAGACAAAACATTTTAATACCTAAAATAGTTTTATGAGAGGTTTGACACTTTAATAAATAAAAGTATTAGCCTAGTGTAGGAGGCAATGATAAATTCTGTGCTAATACAAACATACTTTGTTAAATAAATATATCTTATATCTTATATTACATTATAATAGATATGAGTTAATTGATTGCATAACAAAACTTGGTTCTGTACGGGAATCGAATCTCCAATAGTCGAAAAAAACCTTTCCAAAGTTGAGTATTGCAGTGTGTTAACCGCTACACCGCACCGCCAAGGTCATTAATTTAAATAGAAAATAGCTACATTTTATTAGACAGATCCTTCAACCTTGATTAAAGGTAGCAATTATCTACACTTTCCACCAATGCCACACAGCCGTACTGTCGCTTAAGTTTGCCTAATAAAGTGAGCCGATCATCCTTTCCCATCCCAACCCCACCGAGGCTGTGAGGCTGCGCGCGCGCTACACCGCGCAGTCTTCGCCGGCGACCGTCCGCCGCGTGCGCATCTTCACACGCGTCAACTTGTAGCGCTCTCGGTATTCCATTTTTGAATTTCAAATACGAAATTTAAAAATAACCGTTTTGCACTTTCAAACTGTTCTTCTTTTTTAAACTTTTTAACTTGTTCTATTAAAAAAAAAAAATAATAAATAAAATTTAGAATTTTAATTAAACATCGCAGAGATATATAATCAAAATATAACATTTCTATTTCGTTCATATTTGTTTTACGCTGAACCGCCCGACCCCTGACCGAGTTTTTATATAACCTTAAATCTTATCTCGGCGTCTTTTGATTCCGACCGCTCACTCTATGATTAAACAATAGTTTAATTGTAATTTTTTCACATCCACGCTTACTAACATTGCTTTGTCAAATATAGACAATGTCCGAATGAATGTTTAAAAAACGGCCCTAATTATGTGCAATTATTGCGTAACAGTTATAGAGCTGTAGTCGTGAGAAGGCATTGTGCGAACACCCCAGCGCTCTGCGCTGAAGTTTTTCTTATATTTATTATGAATCTGTTATACAACCTGCAGGAACTGTTTCTGATAAACGTTCTAACGTGTCATTAACCGAGATAAGCCGTTGTCGTTTATTGTTATTCTTGCGCAATTCGTTTTCCTAAATATTTGATTTTATTATTATCGTATCTCTATGCGCGTGCAACAGTTTGAAAGTGCATTTTATTGAGTGTTATTTTTTTTTTCAAGTGGCAAGTGCATCAACTATTGTAATTAGTGTGTGCGTTGCCGTGAGCTGGAAGACGGTGTTTGGTGAGTATATAAGTATTTTATTATATAAATTATTATATAAATAATAATTGAATATAGATATATTATTGTTACTTATGTAAACCCAATATTGAGTCCCAGTATAAGCCATTGAATTTTCTAACTCCATGTTTAGCACATTTGTGGAAAGAAATAAATAAAAGACTAGGTTTTACACGCGACTTCGTTCGCGTTATCGAAATATGTCGATAGATAGCGAAAAATAGTAGTCGACGTTATACATTCATACCATATCTACGTGTATATTAAAGTTCATGAATATTGTCGACCATTAAAGCTTTCAGAAGTGATTAATCAACAAACAAACTCACTTTCATTTGTAATGTAAGTAAGGATAGTCACTTGTTTCGTATATAGAAGGGTATGTAAAATCGTCGTTCACTATACAAATTCTTGATGTTTTTTTTTTTTATAAATAAAATTAATCTTTAATAATGTTTAGACTTAGGGTGAACTTTATTTAATTAATAGCTTTTATCAGCGTTTTACATATATGTATATGATCACTGATCAGGAAAAAAATAGCCTATATGTTTCTCTATTACATATAGTAGACTTATATTTGTATACCAAATTTTATAGCTTATGGTTAAGCCATTAAAGCATTCAGAGGTAACTAACAAATAATAAATAACAAATAATGTAATGTAGACAGGATAAAAATAACTTATATATTCTATAATATATATATATATATATATATATATATATATATATATATATATATATATATATATATATATATATATATATATAATATTACTAATGTGAGTATTTGTAATGACATGAATGGAAGAAGAAAATATATTAACCGACGCTAAATAGATATGGAAAAAGGCCAGAAAGGAAGAAAAATATATTAGTAAAAATAGTAATGTATTATATATTAGTAACATATTTATTTGAAAGATATTAAAATTTTTACTAAAAAATATCACATTTTTTATATTGTCTTTCGAAATCTCATAAAGATATGTTTATTTATCTGTAAACATAACATTTTAATATTACGTGACACATCCGTAAGTATGATATTTAACTCGTATGTGTCAACCCCCGACTTGTAATACGGAAACATAGAAATATGTTGATCCACTAAATTATTAGATTTCGTAGTGAAACCCATTATAAATTGTCAACACCAATAAATTTAAAATATTTCGAAAATTCCTACAGAAACGACATATTTAATTACATATGTATGTCTCAAACAAGATTATATATATATATACATTCACTATTATAAAATAACACGTTAAATAGTTGAACGACTTTTTAACTTGATCGATTTAACATGTAAATACATGTAAAATCGGAAAACTGTTTTGACATGTCCGTTTAACGTTATTACATGTTATGTAATAAATTATGTAGTGGTACATACATATATTATAAACCAATTGCACACCGCCGTTTTTTTTTCCTTTTAATTAAAATAAAAAGTGTCTTAATTATATTAATCCAAAATTTAAGTAAAAATATTAGAACGTAAGTCATGCCAAGTTATCTGTAAGAGATTGCTTTTTAGGAATAAACTAAAGGGGAGACTTTGTACAAAAGTCGTTTACTTGGGCACCTCTGTCCCATTCGTGTTTCTACCGTGAAGCAGTTGTGTTTGCATGGCTGTGTTTCGGTTTGAAGGGTGGGATATTGTAGTGAACTTGCAGAGTACAGAGGAATAACACCTGAGTCCTCAGAAATGGCAACGCATGGAGGATATCATGGGCAAAACAGTATACTCTGTTATGTTCATGGTACTGCTCATGTCTATAGACGACAGTACCACTTTCCATCAGGTAGGCCGTCAGCTTGGTTGCCATTCTATGTTGCATAAAAAAAAGTCCACCTTTTGTATTTGCACTTACTGTATTAATAATCTATGTATACATACGTCCTGTTTGCGTGCAATAGTTTATTATTTTTATTATTTAGAACAATATAGGAATGTTGGAAGAAATATATATATACACCAAAGCCTAACTGCAGTTGCCAGCCCATCTACCCGTGTCCAGCAGTGGACAGTTAATGACTGATATCATCCCTCGTGAAGTATGGGATACTATCGTAGGCAATGACTAAAATGCTAAATCCTATCAACATAGTATTTATATGTAACTTGCTCTACAATGTAAATCAGTGCAAAAGGCGTACTTAATGCTAGTAGCATTCTCTCCAACCACCAACCACCAGTCAACCAATGAACAGTGAATCACGAATGCGGTACTTCATTATTGGAATAGGTAAAGAAAATTATATATATATATCTACAAAATAAATAATACATATATAAATATAAATAAATATATATTAACCGCTATTGTCGTAATGAATCCATAAGATGAACTCGGGCATATTAGTAAGGATTAAAAAAAATATAATAAATTACTGCCACTGATGAAGAAAAAAAAATATTACTAATTTTATGCATTCTGATTTTGTTTTTGTTTTATTTTTATTTTTGTACATTTATCTTTTTTTCATCTTTTTTCACTATACATTTGTGTCTGTAAGCTGTTCGTGTGCTGTAAGTAATGCAAATAAATTGTTTATCTATCTATCTATCCATAAGATGAGAAAATTTTGTTTTTAATATATATTTATAATAAATTAATTAAAGCAATTATAAACAATTATTTACAGAATGTCAAATAATAAACACAAGTATATATATTATATTAGAAGTACTTGAAATTTCATCACATCAGCACAGAAACAATATATTCCGACCTTCAACTGTCTACTGGTTGCAATGCACTTATTTTTTTCACATACATAAAGTTAAACTTATTATCCTAATTATATTTCAGCATGCAATTGTAGTTGCACTATTTATTTTTTTGCAAGCTTCATAAGACTGCAAGCTACTTGTATTTAAATAACATCGACGTACGTGACTTTAAATTCAATTCATTTTCATTCAAGTAACTTGTATAAAACTTGTTTACAAGCAATTTTAAATAAGACTATCAACTCGCCACTTATAAGCACTTTTAAATAAAACTAAATCAACTCGCCGTTTCTCAATTTTTATAAAATTCCGCCACAGAATGAGCTACGTTTCCTTTCCCATGGGTGTCGTAAGAGGAAACTTAATATTAGCAGCAGCGTCTCCTTTAAAACTTCATCAAAATCCGACTGCGATTGTCGACTCGTCTGACAAGCGTCGCAAATGAGTAAATTATAAAATATTAGTAAAACCCGCCTGGAAGAGCTATGTCCAGCAGTGGACAGTTGATGGGTGATGATGATAAATCCACTTGTATGTCTGTCTGTCTGTGTTTGACATAAGAAAGGATGTAGGCAACTTTTTATCTAAGTTGTCAACTTGTTATCAACTTTTTGTCTGTATGTTTGTTTGTTACAGCATCACTCAAATATTATTGCATCAAATTAATTATAGTTTTATCAGATATATTTTTGAAGGTCTAGCTTAAAATCTGGCACATGTTAAATTACCTATTTCCATAGTTTACGCGTACGAATCGCTGTTAAAAGTTAGTTTCATAAACGTACATATATATGTACTTAGTTTACAACATTACAGCAAAGCACGCCGTAAAACATAATGAGAGCCTTAGTGACATTTCCGTTTATATTTTATTATTTGCCATTAAACACGGTTGTTGTTTTTATTGGGATTTGTTAATAGCACAGAAATAATAATAATAATTAACAATATTATTTATTGGCAGAAAATTAAATTGTAGGTACATATTGCTTCATTTCACTTTTTATACTTTATAAGTATAGAGAATAGAGAGTATAGAGAATAGAAGAGGCAAAATGCTGAGTCACCTTATACGACATGACGATTTTTTTAAGAGAATAGTAGAAGGAAAAATAGAGAGCAAAAGAGGAAAAGGAAGATCGAGGAATAACTACACGGGACAGATAAAAGAAACACTAGGTGTCATGTCGTATAAGGAGGTCAAGGATATGGCCTGCGATATAGCTGGCTGGAAGCAGATGCATGAATTAGTTGCACCGACAAGGGGAAACTCTTAAATGAAAAGAAGTTTTTATAGGTAGAAAAATTATTGGATATTCTTTGAATGAAAGAATGAATGATAACTTTATTTGCTCGAATACAGATTAATTAACACCAGAAGTAATTAATGTTAGTTAAAAGAAAAGTGTTGAAAATAATAAGCTCAGTTCGATAAATGATAAAATGTCTGTATTTTGTGAAGTTATAAAAAGAGTGTTTAAAAGAGAATAGAAAACTGTCAGATAAATTATTATATTATTATATTTTTGTATTTTATATTTTGATTGTAGGTCATTAATAAAAATGACTATAGAGTTTTTACAACAAAAATACTCACTGCATTCAACCGTTTGGTGTGCAAATAATTTATTTGGAATTTGTTCTTAAAATATTACATTAAAATAGTCTTTAAGTGAAAAAAAAAAAATTGCATTTAGTAATACAGTAATAGTTATAAAACGTCATTATCATCAATTCAGCCATTAACTGTTCACTGCTGAACATAATCCTCCCTTTTGGAGGGGTTATGCCAGTAGTTGCAGGCGAATTATTATTTAACAATATCTATCTACTTTATATGAAATGAAATGTAGTATTCATTTGTTATCAACAATATATATTGTAAGTGTATTGTAAAGCCATTCATATGTTATAAGGTAACAAACGCACTCACATTCACATTTATGATATTATAATAAAATAACAAGATGTATATTGAGCGTGCAAGTGGGATCCTTGGCTTGGTGTGACGTTAGGAGCCGGTACATTCACCGGTAGGAGACATATGCCTGATGTATGTCCTTATTATTGTTTTTTTTTATCAGTACCTTGACTTTTACGTATTAAATACGTACGAATATTGTTACGTATTTTACGCCTTAAATATCTATATCTACTTGTCGTATATCCTGTTTCAATGGTTGTTAATGAAAATGTAAACACCAGAGAGAGACTTTGTACAAAAGTCGATTGCTTGGGTACCTCTGTCCCATTC